CGAATGGAGGGCGAAAGAGAGAAATGTGCCAAGAGGAAGGCTTGTCAAGCCAACCCCGACTGGGACCACCTTCCACCTGGAAACCGATGCCCTCACTGTGGGAGAAGATGCAGATCAAGAATAGGGCTCAACAGTCATCTACCGACCCACCGCCAGGATACTACACTTGGAGGACCATTATCTTTGGACTATGCAGGATCCCTTAAGTAAAGTAAGTAAGATATAAGCTGGAGTTTGGTTCTGTGACCCAATAGTTTGATGCCACTGGGTACAAACCCTAAAGAGAAGCCTCCCCCCCCCCCATATGATTGTTGGCAACAGCCAAGATACCTCACATACTTGTGTCTTAGGGGCACTCCAGCTGATGTCAGAAAGAGCACCAGTCACTAAGACAATCTGCAAATCACAGCCCGGCAAAAGCCTGCTGGAGTGTAGGTGGAATAGTTAAGTCGGGTGTTATGGCTGGCTACAGCTGCAACATTGGGGGGAGGGGGTTCTTAGTCTAAGGAGTATGGGATGGCTGTGAGGACATCTGTCCCTACTTCCATTTAGAAACTGGCCCTGCTGTTTTGACACCTTCTAACTCAGGGACAGCCTGAATTCTATCTCAGAATTCAAGTTATCCCCTCAGTTAGCTTAACAGGATAAAAGTCAATTAAGGGCCTCATCAAATTGAGGTCCAATTTGTGGGTGATAGCAGGGGAATTTTCCATGTAGCATGATGAATCTGGCAGGCAGCATGGAAATCTGATGCCTCGTGCCCCACATTGCCCCCTTACCCATCCCATGGGGGGAAGCATCGCCACCCAGCCTCCCCTGCACTCACCTCGTTCTTTCCTATGAGAACACGGGAAGCCTCCCATGTTCTCTAGAAAGTGTCCTAGTATGCTGCCAGAATGTTGGAAGGATGGAGCCCCACTGGAAGTAACTGTGTGTCATCTGATGGCATCTGGTAGGCTCTGTCTTCCCAGTATTCTCCAAGAGTCCTTGTTGTTGTTCGTTCATTCAGTCATTTCCAACTTTTCGTGACCTCATGGACCAGCCCACGCCAGAGCTCCCTGTCGGCCATCACCACCCCCAGCTCCTTCAAGGTCAAGTCAGTCACTTCAAGGATCCCATCCATCCCCAGCATATTTGTCTTCTCTAAGCTTTCTGTTCTTCTCATGATGTGGCCGAACTACTTCATCTTGGCCCCTACTATCCTTCCCTCCAATGAACAGTTGGGCTTTATTTCCTGAAGTATAGACTGGTTGGATCTTCTCGCTGTCCAAGGCACTCTCAGAACTTCCCTGCAACACCACAGTTCAAAAGCATCTATCTTCCTTCGCTCAGCTTTCCCTATGGTCCAGCTCTCACATCTGTTGGTGGCTACGGGAAATACCATTGCTTTGACTATGCGGATCTTTGTTGCCAGTGTGATGTCTCTACTCTTCACTATTTTATCGAGATTGGACATTGCTCTCCTCCCAAGAAGTAAGTATCTCCTGATTTCCTGGCTGCAGTCTGCGTCTGCAGTAATCTTTGCACCTAGAAATACAAAGTCTGTCACTGCCTCCACGTTTTCTCCCTCTATTTCCCAGTTGTCAATCATTCTTGTTGCCATAATCTTGGGTTTTTTTTATGTTTAACTGCAACCCAGATTTTGCTCTTTCTTCTTTCATCTTGATTATAAGGGTCCTCAGCTCCTCCTCATTTTTGGCCATCAAAGTGGTATCATCTGCATATCTAAGGTTGTTAATGTTTCTTCCAGCAATTTTCACCCCAGCCTTGTATTCGTCAAGCCCCGCACATCACATGATGTGTTCTGCATACAAGTTGAATAGGTTGGGTGAAAGTATACAACCCTGCCCTACGCCTTTCCCAATCTTGAGAACACATAAAAATCTCTAATGTGATGAGGTCCTAAGTAGCTTTCGTCTAAGCTCATCTGGATCAGACCTGTGTGGTGTTTAGCTGATTAACCCTCACTGCCCAAAGTTATCAGTGTAGAAGTACCCAAAAAAGGACGAAATGGAGCTCATCACGACATTATCACCCATGGAGTCCCACCCATGGAGTCCCAAGAAGAGAAGGACGAGGTGGGGAAGTAGCCAACCTCTTACAAAGCAAATTTATCTTCTGTACCTGCCCATTTAAAACTAAACCACCACAAAATGTTTTGGATAACAACTGAGTTAGCTCACAACAAAATGTTGTTGATGAGAACATCAACACATTCCACCAGTTCCTGTGAAAGGGAAAAGAGAACCCCAAGGGTTGGTAAAAGGAGATAATGTCACCATCACTGTTAAGCAAGACGTTCTAGGACCTTTACCCTGAAAACACTTGTTCCATTTATCAGCCTGGTTGTGAAAATAATCTGTGTAAAATCTTGAAAATCTCCATTTGCTTAGTCTGAACAGAAAGGATTGGATAAAACATGTCAAGTGCTTTTCACTTATTTTAAATTACTTTTCCTGTAAACAGGATACAGTCCCTAGCTTTTTAAAAAGATAAACATAAAAGTGAGGTTGTTAGCTATCATATGCTATCAACTCCCTTGGGTTCTATGTTGGGAAAAATGGGATATACAATAAACAAAATTAGAGTGTAAAGTCTGCAGGAATCTCCGAGCAATTGCAGTTGTTCCTCTCTCTATAGAAAATGTTAGAAACAAAATGAAGAAATTACCTGTATACATAAAAACCAAAAACTGCAGTCCTATGGGCATTCGGAAGAAGTATGTACATGATCCAGCTGTAGAAACAGAACGGATGTAAAGCTGTCTCATGTGTGTAGAGTCTATAATTAATAAAATCTAATACAAAACCCCTGATAATATTTAGAAATGGTGTGAATGTTTCACTCTGTAAAGGCATGTAATCAACATGTAAGGTTTAAGTGAAAAAAGGAATAAAAGGAGGAAAATGACTTTTTGAAACTTTGAGCAAGATGCAAGGGATAAAGTTCCTTCACAAACCACAACATAGCACAGTTTCTCCAATTTTTAGTGCAAAATAACTCAGGTTTATGGTCTTGCTGACACTAAACACAAAACTGGAGGTTTTACACAGGCAGGAAAAAGACAGGGAGCACAAGACAGAGGACTTGTGGCCATGACTGCTTGTTAGTGTTTTTCAGGATGAATGAAGCACTAAATTGGCACATACAAATATTAACTACATGCTTCAGCAGCCTGGGAGGTTTTCATTGATGCCTCCAGCATGTAGCTGGGAGCAAAATAAGGTAACCAATACCATAAGGTTCTTAATACTCAAGCTCAACACAACACCTTGAAAGTGTTTTTTAGACAGATAAGTACTTCTCCGAGAGTTTTCTTAGACATCATCATTAACTGTAAATATATAAAATAATACTCAGATATGTCAGGAGGGCAAACAATATTGCCAGTGGAATAACATAACTAATTCAGCAATTCCTTTTCTTCTACAGCTCCAGGTTATTTTGCACTAAAAACTCAAGAACCAGTTCTGCAAACTCAGGAAGCAAAACTTGTCAAACAGACAAGGTTTATTCCATAAATGTTTTCATCTTCCTGATAGGTTTCATATCACTTCCTATACTGAACTGCTGAGGTGTCCATTTTAGGAGTCTAAAATAAGGCAGAAAAGTAATTAGGCAATCTCACTTTTCTCTTTTCTGTTCTTTCATTTTGACTATAGTTTTTCTATGATCCATTCTAATTCCCAATCTGGGCATAAGTCAGAGGACAAGTAAGAGATTAAAATACATTGAGAGCTTTGGTATAAATCAGTGGTTCCCAATCTTTTTTTGACCAAGGACCACCTGACCAGGGATCACTTTGAAAAGGGACCACTCTCCAACATACCAAAAGGGTTACGAATCAGTTGTTGGTCATCTTTAGATTCGATTTGGTTATTTTGGGTGCTGATTCAGAAAATTGCATTGGATGGACCACGTCAGCTCCAGTTTCTGATACAGAACATATGCCATCCAGTTGTCGTCATCTGCTCACACACAGAAAAAAAAACATATTTAGTAATCTAGTGATGACATGGTCCATCCAACCTAATTTTCCAAATCAGCACCCATCTGAGCACTGTAAGTGGTCTGGAACTTATCTGTAAGAGATTCCATTGGGAATCTTTGAGGGAGGAATAATCTGGTGTGAGATAATTGACCATCTACAAGGACATTGTCCAGGGGACGCCCAGATGATTTTGATGTCTTTTTATCATCCTTGTGAGAGGCTTCTCTCATGTCCCCGCATGAGGAGCTGGAGCTGATAGAGGGAGTTCATCTGCCTCTCCCTGGATTCGAACCTTTGACCTGTCAGTCTTCAGTCCTGCCGGCACAGGGGTTTAACCAGGGGCTTCACCGGGGTAAAGCAGGGGAACCCACGGGGCAGCAGGGCAAATCAGTGGGACACCGGGAAAAACTGTTGGGCAGGACCCTGCATCGCCCCTTATCATCACACAGCATTTCCTGTCTCCCCCTGGCTTCATTCTGCACTGCCCTTAGCTTCTTAAATGATAGCACAAGAAGTCACCCATGCTCTCAGGACAGCCTCTTAACATGCTGCCAAAATGCAGCTAGGATGGAGCCAGGACAGAGCCCTGTCGGAAGTAGCCCTGTATCATGGATGGACCCCAGTGGGCTGCATCTTGGCTGCATCCTGGGACAGGAGGAAAGCCCTGTGTGATTAGGTTGTAAGACTCTGGAGCCCAGGATCTGAATCTCCATTTGGCCATGGAAACCTACTAGATGATCTTGGGCAAGTCACACTATCTCGGTATTAGGAAGCTGTTATGGCAGTTAAGAGGAACCATTCTGATATGTCATATAGTATAAGAGAGGTCCCTCCAAGTGGACTTCTTCTCACTTCTATTTTTTGTTTTTTTCTCTTTTATTTCTTTTTTTAATAATTTGTGTTGCAACAATTTAATACTGACAGATATAAATGTCATTTCTATTACAACCATCTCCAACCATCCTGTAATGGCAGATCTTTCCAATAGTAAAGCTCCAAGCTGGTTGCTTCACACTACAAACTTGTTCTTCATGAGGGACCCACTCTTGGTGGCTGTGTCCGCATTGGCCTGGTAACCAAACACCACTTTTGAAGATAAGCTCAGAAGCTCCTTGTATATACGCCCAATATGTATGACTGCATCCCGATTCTCTGCCTCCCGGGTCCAGATAGCAATCTTGTCTCCTTTGGTGCGTATATTGATGACTGCCCCACAGACATCATTGCTGTAGTCACTGAACATTTCTCCAATCAGACACAGCAAAGTCTCCAACCAGAATCGGTCAAGCTCTGTATGCTGCTGCTGTTTGGCTAATGTGATAAGCCAACGACCACCACGTTTGTTCCAGTTATCTTCCCACATAGGTTCAATACCATCCTTGAAAAGGGAGTAGTCACAGCCAGAAGTCAATTTGCTGGCCAACTGGATATGGCTATACAGCGCCCAAAAGTCTTCTATAGTATCAAATTTGGTGACAAGCCACAAGTTGTCCTGCCAGGTCTTGCTCTTGTCATTTTTGAAGAACCATAGGGCCCACCTGTTTGGAGAGGGTGCTTGGTGATGTGTTCCACAACCTCTCCTCTCATGGCCTTGTGCTTCTGCTCCTCTTTGTGTGTGCTTACCATCATAACTGCTGCCATCTTCTAGAACAATCTGGTTTCTCTTCAGATCATATAAATCTTTCGCCTTTTACTCTTTTATTTATTTTTTTATTTTTTTTTTATTTTAGAAGATCCCAGATGGCAAAAATAAGCAAAAAAATATTCACTCCAACGTAAATACACTATTACTAGGGCTGGGCAGTTTCGTTTCGTAATTTCGTAATTCGTTAAAAATTCGTTATTTTTTTATAACGAAGCGATAACGAACCATTCAGGAGCAACTAAAAAACGAAACGAATTTTTAAATTCGTTTCGTAATTGCTTCGGATTCGTTTTGTATTCGTTTCGTTATCGTTTTGAAATCGTTTCGTTATTATTTCCGCATGTCTGGGGCAAGTTTTATAGTTGTTGTTTGTTTAATCAGTGAAAAAAAAATTATAAATATCACACCAACAGTCAACAACAGAGGGAGAGGGAAGCTTCAGAAGTTCCCCCTGTCCCATTTGGAGGTTTTTTAGCGTATTGCGCAGTTGCGTCCGCCATTAACGAATCGATTCGTAATTGTTTCGTAATTGTTTCGTATTGTTTTGTAATTTACGAAATTTCGTAAATATCGAACTTTTTAAAAGAAAAAATTCGGAATTCTTTTAAAAATCGAAACGCAAAACCCCCCAAAAAACGAATCGATTTTAGAAACAAATTTTTCCGTGGTTGCCCAGCCCTAACTATTACATAATACTCAAAAAATGAATGCCAGGGACAGGGGAGCTTGGCATTCCAAGTGTCAATGAACTACTTTCCCCATGATACCACAACATTGATCAAGTGGGATAGAGATGATCGAAATTGGAGGTCATCAACATCTGACATCCACTGGTTTTCTAGCTTTGGTATCAGAAAATCTTGGTCAGCAAGAACAAACAATAATGCCCTGCCTTTCTGCTCCCTTTCTTGAAAAGTTTTTGGTTTTCTCATGAATCTTGGATTTTTTTTTTATGAAAGTGGGCTCTGCTGTTGCTAAAAGTTCTCATTTATTGTCAAATTCCAAGTTTTATGATACTGTAGACTACACTTTCTAAGTTTCTTACTCTTCATCACATATACAAAGATTCATGTGAACAAGGCTCATTTTCAGAAATTCCTGCCACTTTGCAATGGCATATCATGGTACTCACAGCAGCTTTGAGCGCAGTTGATTTACTGAGCTTCTGACTATGCAAATAATGATCTATATTGACAAATCCAGTTACGGAGTACCTTTGGATGTTTCACAAATGGTGTGGCTCCCTTTTATTCCATAGGATTGTACATTACTGCTAAATAAAGCATTTCATGAAGTGCCATGTGGAATCAATCATTTTCCTTCCATTTTCAGGTGATGCAGGAGCATAATGTTAAAGGGTCCCACTTTTGAAGTAACCTAAGATTAAGGGATTATCATTAATTACTGTGCTGGCTCTGAGGGAACATTGCCTGTCCTGTCACTGATATTGAATCTTTTCATCTGTAAATTGGGACATGGTGGATTTCTCTCCCCATATACACACTTACCGGCAGAGGGGAAACAAATGGAGCATGGGTAAACAGATGGCTAGAAAAGAAAGTTGCAAATGAACTTGTTGGGATAATTAAGAGTGATGAATGAAAAAGATGGGTGAGCTGGAGCGGGTAAGGAAAATGGAAAGAAATAGTCTAAATTACCATTAGAAAGAAAAAAATGTATGTAATGCTCTTTTTGATGATCAAAATAAAGCCCTACAAGGAGTTTGAATTGCTTAGGAAACAGATCTAGACACTTCCATTTCAGACAGAGATTGGAATACAATTTGTTCTTTTGCTTCATTTAAAAGATGTCCAATGTTCTTGAAAGAATACGTATATCAAAGTGTACATAGATGGATTTTACTTCTTCCTGATTGCCATTAATTAATACAACTGCATCTTCTTGTTAGAGATAATGTGAAAAGAGAGGAACTTTGATTCCAGCATCAACTCTGTCCAAAACTACGGGCCCTTCCACACAGCTGAATAAAATCCCATATTTTCTGCTTTGAAATGGAATATATGGCAGTGTGGACTCAAAATAACTTAGTTCAAAGCAGATATTGTGGGATTTTCTGCCTTGATATTCTGGGTTATATGGCTGCATGGAAGGACCCTAAGAGCTTTTAAGAAGCAAATATTGAAAGTATAGCATCCCAAGGCACTCACAATAGTGGCAGACTTTTATTACTATACTAACTTGGGGACCCGGCGCTGCCTGGGTTATTTGAGAAAGGCATTGTGTGTTAAGGTTGGTCTTTATCAGTTATTTATGTGGCTCGCAGTGCTCTCAGGGAGTTAGTGAAGGTACTKCRAGTCCCATCATCCATGGTCCATGGTCCATCCTCCTCCAAACTGCACCAGGATGTAGAGTGGGTCATGAGGGCTCTGTGTGCCAAGTTTGGTCTTGATCACTCATTGGATGAGGTTCRCAGCGGTCTCAGGAAGTGAGTGAAGGTACTTCAAGTCCCATCATCCATGCTCTGCCCTCCTCGAAACTGCACCAGGATGTAGAGTGTGTCATGGRACTCTGTATGCCAAGTTTAGTCTTGATCAGTCATTGAATGAGGGCCGCAGCGGTCTTGGGAAGTGAGTGAAGTTACTTCAAGTCCCATCATCCGTGGTCCATCTTCCTCCAAACTGCACCAGGTTATTGGTCATTTTTGGGAGCCTCAGTGGTCTCTGGGAACCGAAGTGTTGGAAAGTACTACAAATCCCATAATACATTGTCCGCCCTCCCCCAAACCTCACCAGGATGTAAAAGGGGTCATGGGGGTTATGTGTGCCAAGTTTGGTCTTGTTCAATCATTGGATGAGGGTCGCGGCAGTCTCAGAAAGCAAGTGGCGGTACTTCAAGTCCCATCATCCATGGTCTGCCCTCCTCAAAACCACAGTAGGATGTAGAGTGGGTCATGGGGGCTTAGTGTGCCAAGTTTGGTCTTTATCGGTCTTTGTTGGGGGCCACAGTGGTCCCTGGGAACCACACCGTTTGAAAGTACTACAGATCCCATAATCCATGGTCCACCTTCCCAAAACTGCACCAGGATGTAAAGGGGTTCATGGGAGTTATGTGTGCCAAGTTTGGTCCAGGTGCATCACCCGTGTCGGTCACAGTGGCCTGTGAAAGTGGCAGCCAATCAGAAAGCTGCCACATACACTTCCGCCCTTCCGCCCTCTGCATAGAACAAACATTCACTTTTATTATATATATAGATATTGGTACAAGCAATAATGAAAATGTCCAATATGAAAATCCTCTCCCTATCTTACTATCACAGAGAAAGAATCATCATAGCTAAGGGATGGAAATATGCTAAAGAAAGTGGGAGAGGCTGCAGGATCCAACATTAAGTGAAAAAATTAACAGATAAATGTAGAGTCCTCACAGGAAAAAGTAAAACAAGTATTGAGATTTAAGAGCCATTTATTATTTGAGTATCTAATATCTTGGACCAACATAAATATTGAAAAGGTTTGCTGCAGGATGCTTATTACTTTTATTTTTTTGGATATTGAAGCTGCAAGAGAATAAAAATACATTTAGCTTGTGCTGGTCAATTGATTAAATCTTTGGGTGGTGGTGGTGGTGGTGGGGGGGAGGTGTGCTACACTCTACTATGATTTTTTTCATATAGTGTTATATCTATGTTTATCATTTATATTACCATTTTGTTTCAAAATGTGTGTAGGTTGGTATTTCCACTGTAGCTCCAAGACAAGAAAGCTTGATATGGATACCAAGGGGAATCTAGGGGTGTGTGCCTTAAGTTAATTTAGACCCACATCCCTAATACCACTCTAATCACTAGGTAGCAGGTAATTCAATATAGATGCATTTCTATTCTATAGTACCACTTTCAGCTGTAAGGTGTAAGACTTTCCTAACCACCTTGGTACTGTTCAAGGATAATGGTTCTTTGAAGAAGAAGAAGATGAAGAAGAAGGAGGAGGAGGAGGAGGAGGAAGAGAAGGAAAAGGAGATGGAGATGATGGAGATGATGGAGATGGAGATGATGGAGATGGAGATGGAGGAGAAGGAGAAGGAGCAGCCAGATTGTAAATGTAACTACTAAATACAGTGGGAACCTCTGCAACCACAGTGCAATATGCAAGAGTAATAAAAGTTACAGTTGACAGTTTGCAAGAGAAGAAGCATTCAAAGAACTGAAATTCCAGAAAAGTATCTTGTGAAACAGGAAGCTGGATAGAAATGACTAGTGCCATAAACCACCTAAGAAGGGTGGGGATGAGTATTTGTATTTTATGCTTTCAATTGTTAATCGTTTATTGTTTTTATATGGCTATTTATATGTAATTGTTTTGACCATATTTTTATCTTGTGGGGCATTGATTGCCGAATGTAAACCGCATTGAGTCACCTTCAGGCTGAGAGGGGCAGTATACAAATATAGTAAAGAAATAAATAAATATTTCGCTACAGTTTGTTCTTAAAATTATCATTCCAAGCCATTAATTATCATTGTCATGTACTTATATGGAAAAGAAAGTCCCCAGTGAAACATTATGATGATAGCAAGGTTCACTTGTCCCAAATGAACAGCTACAATTCTTGTGCAGAACTTTCTGCAACCCCCCCCCCAAAAAAAAAACGAGAAGTATCTATAGCTCCCTTTAGTCCATGTCTCCAGTTTCATCTACTCAAGACAGTGAGTCAACTTTGACATTGCCATAAACTGGATATGGATACTGTAGATAGTAAAGTAATAGCAAGTAATGAAATTCAGACCAAAGTTGTGGATAAAAGTATTCAATTGGCCAGTGGTGTGCACAGAGATCAGGTCAATCAGTGTAGTCAAACTAACTTGAGTAAGAGTTATTCTAGAAAAACCTAAAATTCATTTTCATACATAAATGACTATTGGGCACAATTAATCAAAATATCCAACTTTTCTCCCTGTACAGACCTCGAATTCGGCCTAATTTGGACCGCTTACCTAAATTAACTATTCCCAAAAGGTCTCCTAAGGTAAATTGGT